TCAAGTTAACATTATACTCAATTTAGAGTTACTATAACTAAAAATTGATATGTGCTAATGTTTATAATTTAGTTTAGTGTTACTTACTACTTAATTCAAGTTTGTTATCAACCTTACACACCTCTGGTTAAATAGTTAAATATTATTAAAACAAATCATTGAAATGAAGTGGTGATGAATTCATGATCGTGTTAATAACCTAAAGATTTATTAAGATTGTGTTCTTTTGAGTAAGTTGTATATCACTTATGTTCTAGTCATAATTTACAAAATAGATTGGTAAGAGTGTAAATGTGTACCAGCCTCGATTGTTTTTTCGTTATTTACATTATACTCACCGTAGATTACATGGTTTTAAACAGTGTTAACGAAGAAAACGTAATTTTTGAAAAGAGCAAATAATTATTTGGTACGATTATTTACTAAGCTAATGATTCACACATCCAATTTCCATGCTGATAAATGAGACTGTTCCCATGTTTACTAACTAAAGAAAGAAGCCCAAGCTTGTCTAGAAGCTTCATTCACGTTTGAGTAGTTTCAATTATATACTCATTACATTCACTTATCATTTGTTAAAGAATTCGTTATGCATGATAAATATCGCTTGGACGAAAAATCACAGTGAGTTAATTAATACCAATGAAAGTACAGTGAAATTTAAGACTAATTTCTCTTACATATATTTTGCCTGGAGCTTTCACATCTCTGACGTTAATGTTCACATTCTCTATTTCCCGATTTGCTGACACTATGGTAATTAGTCAAGTTTCAATTTATGTCAAACCACATTATATTTAATTGCTTCTGTAAACTACTGACTTGTCAACAATTTTACGTCCCAGACTGACTTAAGATAATCATTGAAAGCTAGTGGATGCAGGAGAGTTTCTTCATCCTGCTCATTAGTAGTGGGCATCCGTGACCCCACGTAGGATGAAATGCAGGAACTTCATGCACTGCCACTAGCACCTAACCTTTATACAACTGAGTTGACGTCCAGTGGCTTACATTTCTAAATCAAATCAATTCATTACATTGCACAACAGTCATCGAATGTCACTGATGGTTAGTCATATTTAAATATTTTGATTGTGACGACTATTTATCTGTATTTCTTGAGTATTTCATTGACAATGACTTTAGATCTCATTACAAGCTCAGTAGATTACGAAATCGTTTGTAAGCAGATCAAAGTTCTATGCGGTTGGTTTTATTGCATCTCAAGAACGAGTTTTTGTCATTATTGATATTCACATGCTGATTTTTTTTGTCGTTTTGGAGGATTACCGAATCATTTAAAAATGTCATTACCCTAACATAACTTCTTTTGTCTTCATTATCACTATAGTAACTATAATATCTGTTCTACTGTGCATTACTACTTTCTAACATACAAAGATATCATGGAAAACCTTGAAGCACTGGATGGCCACATCGTCCTATTGCGAGACTCCTCAGCAGTGCGCATCCACAATCCCGCATAGCAAGATTCAAACCAAAGAATTATCGACCTCGCGCGCGAACGCTTAACCTCTAGACCATTGGGCCAACCGGCATCCAACGGTGTTAATGTCTACCTTCAACTAAGCCAAGAAATTGAGCGACATATCCATCATTTTCTTCAGTGAATTACTATCTCACAACAGACCCAGTTTAACTCCACTGGTTGCTGCTTCTCACTAGAACTCTTGAGTTTGAATCTCACGAGGCGAGATCGTGGATGCCCACTTCTGAGGAGTTCCACAATAGGACAAAACGGCCGTCCAGTGCTTCCAGACTTTCCATGGTGGTCTAGCTTCAATTAACTCAAGATCTCAACTATGAAAATTACTATAATATCCACAAAACCTCTTCTGATACTAATATAAATACACGTAAATCTTAATTAGGTTTATTCATACACTTTGTATCCTATTCCCCTCATTACTTTTGTTATTATTAATATTATCTTAATTATGTTCCGAACATTTATTTAAAATTCACAAATGAAAGTAAATCAAAATATTTTTTAATAATTATATTACTAATTGTAAATTTACGTTGTATGCATTTAGTAAGAAACCATGGAACGGAATTCATTTTATTCTGCAAATCTTGTTGTTCTTATTTTGTTTGAAAGCATCTTTATACAACAAAAAGATCCTGATGAAAATCTAGATAAATGGAATACACCCATTAAGACATTAAATAAGAAAGATTAGTTCTGTGAAGAGTTCTCTTTTCGGCGAACTCATTTTCAAAGCTGTACAATTACAAATACACATATACTTATTTTAAAGGAAGATAATCTAGATTAATCATCAGTTTAATGGAATAATATATTGATATCAGATGGAATTTTACTGCAAACACAAATAGTGGGATACAATTACATCCAATTGATGAAATCTAAAATAGCATGACACGTCATTTTTTCTTAGATTTCATTTTCAGTTACAATGTAAAATTATGATCAAGTCTATGTAGTAATTGACCGATAATTCCCCCATTTAAACATAAAAAAATAAAATACGAAGTTTAGCGAAGAGAATTTATTACACCTCTATGATATTTAATTATTGTAACAAAAACATTTTACTGATTGAAATCATGAGTCAATTGAAGCTAGACCACCATGGAAAACCTGGGAGCACTGAACGGCCGTTTAATCCTAGTATGGCACTCCTCAGCTGTGCGCATCCGCGATCCCGCGCCCCGCGGGATTCGAACCCAGGATCTATCAGTTTCGCGCCAGGCACTTAACCAACTAGATCACTGAGCCGGCATCCAACGGTGTTAAGCCGCTACCAGTGGAGTTCAACCAGGTCTGTTGTGAGGTATCAACTCACTGAAGACAATGGTGTACGGTGGCACAACTTTGTGGATTGGTTGAAGTTAGACATCAATACCGTTGGATACTGGCTCAGTGGTCTAGAGGTTAAGCCTTTACGCGCAAAACCGAAGGTCCTCGTTTCGAGTCCCGAGAGCGGGATCGTGGATACGCACTGCTGAGGAGTCCAGTACTAGAACGAAACGGTTGTCCAGTGCTTCCAGGTTTCCCATGATTGTTTAGCTTTAATCAACTTATGAATTCAACTACTAAATTACTACAATCTCCACAAAACCCCCTTTCTGATACTTTGTGAAGTTTAAGAAAATGGATGACAAATTTACCTGTAAGCGCTAATGACTAAAATTTTCCTCATTCTTGTATAGATACATGTACATATATCTTAGTAGATAGAATATAAACTGACGGATTACAAGTGATGTGAAAAGTTAATTAAGGAAAAGACGTATAATCCGTTATTATTATTTTTCATTCGATTACAATGACAAGTATAGGAATTAAGCCAAAACCTGAAAAAATAAACGTGTTAAGATAATAACAATAAAAACCAAGTAATAAGAAGCATGTGAGAAATCAAAAATAGAAGTTATTAGCTTAAGGTATCGAACGTGTTGCGAATAATCAATTTAAGATTATGCTTAATGAAGAAGAGTTAACTAGTGAGAGAATGAAAAATGATAGTAATAAAGGGTTTGAAGAAGTTATATTATAGTAAGTTGCATTTTCTCTGGCCAAAAAGATGAAACAAGCGTATTACAAAAAGTCTTTCGGAATGTTCACTTTTCAAAAGAAAAAAAGTGAAGTCCGATTCGTGTCGCGTGAGACAGTTATCCACCTCAGACAATGGATGAAGGGTTGCGTAATTTCATGTATTGTTTGAAGTCAGACATTAACATCGTTGGAGGCAGGCCCAGTGGTATAAAATTTAAGCCTTCGAAGGTCTTTGGTCCAGTAATTTCAAGTTTTGGATGGTAGTCTGGCTTAGATTGACATGTGAATTCAATTGTTATTACTATTACAATATCCATAAGTCCTTTTACTGAAAATACTTATTCGCTATATTTGCTTTTTATTAAATGTTTGGATAAGGATTTCCACTTTACTAAATGAGAATTATTCACACAAATCTATCTAAATAAAAGCCAAATTAAGTTAGTCATATTCCAAAAAACTGGCTTCATGATTAGTATATTTTGATGGGAATAATGTTAAACACCGGAAAAAGCTAAGCACCAAAGCTAACAGGTTTTAGATTCAAATCAAGAGATATTATATCCAATTATAGAATAAGTTATAAGTTGACATAGTCTTGAATAAACTTAATTTCAAGTCAATGAATCTGTATTATCTAGTATTCATTCACTTCATCTTTACACTTTTTTTATTAATTGATATCACGTTCATGAACATGTATGTCAGAGATAAAAAATTCAGTTTCATTTTGGAAAGGACAGACGTGCATTAGTTCTAACAATGATGGTCTCTCTTAATTGTTCCAACTTTCTTTTGAAGGAGTCAACGGATGGATCCTCAACCACATACTGAGCTAATCAATTCCATTCGTTGATCATTCGATAAGAAAGTTCCTAGTCAACTAACAAGATAATAATTCATCATATGAATCCAATCTAAAACTTATCACTTTCCTTCCATACTCATCATTCAATATTAAACAAACAAACACAAACATTTTCAAGGCAAAAAAAAATAACAAACAAACATAATTTATCACCAATTTTAATCTTATTTTTAAATTACCAAGAATATTTTTCATAAACCTCAGACATCATTAAATTAATTTATTAGCCAATCAAATTAAAGAAATATCACTGTTTTTCTTCCCCTAATAATTTGATTGGATAATTCTTGTACATTGATTAATTTAACTACAAAATTGATTGGTCTATTCGATAACATATTTCTGGCCAATAAAAAATGAAAATTTATTATTATTATTATTATTATTATTATTATTATTATTATTATTCATTGATGGTAGTAAAAAGTTTTATAATTAACACGGAAATTAGATTTTGTGTTTAAAGTTTTGGGAATTGGACATCATCTTTTGTTTTCTTTTTTTTTTAATGTCAGAATATACAACTTCTAACAAATCACCATGATTTATGTAAATCAATTCATGTAATACACATATTAGAAAAATAGAATGAATCATTCATATAATCATAATGATTTATTAACTATATCATCTATAACTATAAATAATGATAGTCGAATTGATTCAGAAACGCATACAATTACACAAATTTGTTTTTCATTAGCATTTTGTTCTACATTAATCCATCTAATATTTATATTATATTTTACACGTATAAGAAAACTTTATGGTTTCTGTATCATGATACATTGTTTATTTTATTCAATTTCATATTTAATGACATTAATTACATGTTCATTAAGTAAAAAAACTAATCTTATTCATATTATTTTTGGATATTTAGCCGATTATTGTATCTTGACAACTATAATAATGAATTTGAAATCATCATTAATGATTGTTTATTTACTGTTGAGTAGACGAGAAAATACGAATGGTTACCATGGAAACTATCAATTATGTAATTCTAGTAATGTATGTTTAAATCATATTAAAAAATTATGTTATATAATGGGACATGTAATGGTTATCATTTTACCTATATTATATATTGTAATTAGTACATTTTTATTTGAAACTAATAATTATATCAGTGAAGATCATAAAGAATTTGCTGTTATATCATGTAATTTAACACCAAATTATGGACATTTTTATATTTTCTTTCCAATATTATTTATATTATTATTATTACAATTTTCTTGTATTTTAATTATAATTAAATTGCTTATTGGTCAACAACAAAATACTAATCATTATCATGATAGTATTACAACATTATGGAAAACAACAAATATAAGTGCACGTTTTTGGATTACATTAAAATTTACAATTACACATAGTTTGGTATGGTTGATTGCATTTTTAGCATTAATACAAGCATCTATTTCTCTTTGGCATGTATTCACATTATTATATAGTTTACAAGCTATTTATATTACTGTAAATTGTACATTTACACGTCCTATATTAGATTTACTTTATCAATGGCGTGAAGAAAAAATGGATTATTATAAAAATGAACATCATCTATTATTGATTAATCATATTTTAAATACCAATCAACAAAATGATACAAAACAAGATAGAATCAATAATGTATTGATTAATTATTAAGCAAAATTCTATATAAATATTGTTTATAGGCGGCATGCTTCAGTATCTGGGCTACCTGTTCCTGCCATCTAGATTCAACAACTTATCTATTTTTGTTTGTTTTAATATATCATTATGTTTATTAATCGTATAACCTATCCTGGTGGATTTCTGAAAAGTGAACAACTTTTCGTTGTCAAAATTACAAAAAGCCTAATAAGAGATAATTTGGTCACTGGTAGTATGCAACAAAAAGAATATACATTATTCAGAAGTACATTTACTGGACTTCTAACATCTAACTGGTGATCACTCAATATTTATCATCAGGATCGACCAAGAAGTAAGAAACGGAAATTTTTTGAAATACTTTGTGCTGAAAATTCTATATTGTACCAAAAATATAATATTGAATAAAGCTTATAATAATAATAATATATTTGTACATGTTAATATACAGTTGTATAGATAAAATAATATTCATTATATTAATTCATATTAACAACTAGTGAAGATCTTGTATTTATTTTCATTATCATTTGGCTCATGCTATATATGTATGAATTAACAGAAGTATTAAATTTTCTTTTACCTTAACTGTAAGTAGTATGTTAAGAAGTTTTGTTTATTTATTTGTGATGATAAAACTTTAAAACAAACTATTGAATGTAAAATGTATTTGTAAAATCTCAATGAAAGAATTTGAAATCAATTCAACGTTTTGCCTGGTAATCTGATCGAAGCTTTTTCATCAGGAATATATCCTTGAAAAAGCATTAGGATATGGTAATTTTGTTTGAAACACTATGATAATTCGAAATAATCAGGGTTTTTTTTTGGGGGGGGGTAATTTCCCTAAAGTATGCCTTATTAGATAATGATATTTTAAAGCTAATAATTTCTTAAACGAACTCAGTTTATATCAGATCTGTGATCAAGGAAATATATTCTTGAAAAAGCTTGAACCAGATTGCTCGACCAAACGTTGGATTTACCTTAAATTCATTCGCCAAGATTTTACAAATATATTCTTCCTCATTTAATGTCTCATATTAACTCTGCGCCTAAATATTGTGAAACTATTCGATCAAATTTAAACAAAAGTTCATATTAAGTGTAGATTTAAAAATTTTTTGTTTGATATTTTTATAATCATTTTGAATTGATGTGAAATTTTAAAGTTTAGGTATTATATACCTGTTAATACTCGAGAAACATAATGAATGGTAACTTTCGGATCCATCTGTGGACCAATACTATACGTATATTTTTACCTTATAATTGTTAAATAACTAAACTATGCATTTTCATATTCCCCTTATTATAAGCTTCATTTTGACCCATAAACTATTATTATACGTTTTACCATTCTTGAGTTATACCTAGCATATTAATTACTACCTCCTTCATTCACAGGCACATCTGGCTAATTCTTGTACAAATGTTGTTTCATATTTTATTATTGGTACGTTGTGGTCTGTTTAATTGATATATAAACTCGGTATGTTTGAAATATAATGATTCATATTGCACAGGCTGAGATTGGTGTTCTGGACATAACTGGCTGGGCTATGTAGGAAGCAGGGCCAATCAGGACTCTAGGCTGCTCGCACGTGTTTATGCGTCATTGATCCGATCGATAAGTCACTGCTCTTTAATCGGCGCTCTCAAGTCATAACAATACCTATTGAAAATTTCCTAATGAAGAACTAATTCTAAGTGATATTATTTATAAGATGAAAGAACCTCCACGATAACTGCAGCCAGTAATATCTTTGTGTATAAGTAGAAAAATACAATTTTGTTTTCGGTATTATCGATTTAACCAATCATATGATTTTATACTGTCAGTTTTTAGATCTTCTCTGAATCACTTTGGCGTAGATCACTAAGTGTGTTCTTTAAAGTTTATGCATCAAATAGTGTAAGGATTTATTTTTTACTTTACAAACTGATTTAATCAGTAATCAATAAGTTGCAAAACAATTATTCTTGAGAAAAGTCATAACATAAGCTTGTAGACAAGTATGTGATTAATAACATGTATACGACAGTTACCCCTTGTGTAGGAGTATAGACAACCCACCAGCATTCTCTATCTAACTCTCTCCTCGACAAAAGTTTCTAGTTTTTTTTAGTTGCTATTCATCTTTTTGGTGTCTACTTCCGATTCTCGACACTGTGTTCTTTGGCCTTCCTCGTTTTCGTTTATATATATATATATATATATATATATATATATATATATATATACTCATTTATGATCAGGTGGTTTAAAGTAGTCAGGAGGAAACCCGCAAACTAGATTTCATATTAGTTGGCACTCTTCGTCAAGGCTTACCTAGAATCTGAAAAGGACTGATTTTTCCTATGGAATTTGAATTCATAATAATTAGTTCTCGTGAACCTTGAAAGTAATTATTTCACTATACTTGATTTATGAAGTCCATATAACATATTTTGAATGATTAAAAGATATTCAATGGAGCATGTTTCATTTATCACAAATTATTTATAGTGACTTTATGGATTTATCTTTTGACAGCTGAGTGTTCAAAATGACAAAAGGAAGGCTAGATATTGGCAGACAAGATATGGAAAGTTTTTTGTACTTACTGGTGTACAGCCTGTCAATACTAGAATTTGAAAGTGTACATGAAAATAAAGGCATTTAGATGTGATTATCATTTGTCTAAAGAACATTTCAAATATAAATTAAAAGACTTTCTCTCAATATTGATCCATTTATTGACCTTTTTTAGACCGTATTGCCCTACTCAGAACCCCAAAACTTGTGATAGATAGATCATTAATGAAAGGTTAGAGGACATGATAATTTTATCTGAAACACTATGATGATTCGAAGGAATCGGTTTTTCTCCGGAATTTCCCTAAACTATGTCTCAAACGAACTCAGCTCATGTCAGATCTGTGATTAAAGAAACAATTAACTAATTGGTAATTTCACAGTTCATACCACGAACTGACCGTACCTAGGTGATCATTAAAAGTGGTTGTTTCATTCTGGTATGAGACCCACCAATATTTTCCATCTACAACCTCATCAGGGATTTAACTCAAACATTCTCAGAGTTCTGGTGAGAAGCACTGAGCAATCAAGTTCAACCACATAGAGTGTGAGGCAGTTACCCACCAATGGTATTACAAAACGTTCACATAATGTTGCAATTGCCTGAAAACAAAAATGTAAATCATTTGATGTCAGCTCAATAATATGAAGACAAAATACTAACAGTGAGACAAGAGGATCCTTAGTTCTGTCTCCACTAAAGTCATGGATACGCACTGCTATGTAGAGACAGCTATTAAGCCATTCTTGGCCTAACCGAGGTCAAGCTTTGATGTAAAATGCGAAATTTAACAATTTCCACAAATCAACGACACAAATTATAGTTCGTTTTAACATCGTACACAGTCCAAGCACATATGTAATGGATAAAATCCACAAGTTTTATTAATAATAATATTAATAATATTACGACTTCAGTATGTTAAAACGTAACTCAATTGATTCAATGTAAGTTTGCAAATTTATCTTTGTGGCATTTTATGTATATTAGATAGTGATAGTACCTGGCTGTTTTGAAATGACCAAGACAGAACAAGACTGTCTTATATTTATCCTATGATTTATGATTACGTTATTAGCGCTGCACATCTTTCTCACGAATAACACTTAACATAAAAATGATAATGACATATGAATCTAAGAAGGACAACTAACATAAAATACAAAGAAGTTTGTTATGATAAACAAACATCAGTAAATGGAATATTCTTAAACAATCCTAATGCACACAATCAAGTTGAAAATTTTCAGTTATTATATATTTTCAAAGATAAGTTTAGTAATCTGTAACTAAGTGGATATAAATTTAATTTTATTCGATAGAATATATTTTTTTTTAAATACTCAAACCCAAGTTACTTAAAGTCAAGATTTGTAATTGCGTGTTCCTTATTGAATCTATGGTCTGTTTATATTAAATGAGCTAGAAATGAACCGTTAACATTTTGTTTTTAGTATTACCTTCACCTAATCACAATGGGAGATGCTTTTGAGCATGAAAATATAAATTCTTAGAATTTTTGTCAATCTAACTTACTCCACCAAACCAATCGAGAATAAATTTACAACTGAATCGAAAAGGTATGTTCTTAATTGTTATTTTTTAGTGGGGAGGGGTGGGGTACTGGATTAAATAAAGAATAACTTGAATTGTTTGAACTAAGTTTAAAATTCTATGGTACATACAATCACATAAATTATTTAGATACAGACTTAAATTATTAAACATCAAATCTAGTTTTGATCTCCAAGGAAATTGATTTCGGAGTTTGCATAAATTATTTAGCCTAGATATTGGACAATGAAAACGCAAACACCTTAAACTTATTTAATGAAATAGATGTAGAACAAATATTTTACAAAATTGTTTATGATTGACAAGAAAAACTCGTCATGGATAGTAAAATAAGATATTTGGAAATGGTGTATTGAATTTGATTTTTCAAAGAAAACAAATAAATCATAGATGATTAAGCAAAGATGGATCATGGTTAGCAGTGGAATTCAAGACGAGCGTTTCGTCTTGTTTGGGACTTTTAAGTTGAATGTATCTGCATCTCAGTTAATGTTCACTCCGGGACTCGAACTGAGTACCGTTCGCTTCAAACACCATCACGATGTTTATTAATGTTTATAAATGGAGAAAATTACACAAAATAAATTAGGAACAATTAGAGGTAATAGGATCTATCGTATTGCTTTAGTTTTGTCTACCAACATCCATCAAGTGTGGTAAAAGAGTTGTAGATTGGCTTTTTAAGTCCATTTCCAAACGACGAAAGGAACTACCCACTAGAATGTCGTGTAAGTTGTTTGACGATAGGTCAAGTATAAATCTCTCCATAGAAATAACTTAAGCGATGAATAAAAACCGAATTGACTTATTCTTTGATTGAACAACTACAACTGTCTAATCAAAAAGTATCTACAT